GGGTTCGATCCCTACCCTGACTCCTGCTGTGTATTTGAAGTTTGCGTGTCTCTCTCTCTCTCCGTGGTCGCGTGGATTTTTCTCCGGGTCCTTCGGTTTTTCCATCCACATTTAGAAACACGCGTTTGGAGTATTTGGCTGCTATGAATGTCCATGTGATGATAAGCCACTTCGTTGAGCTATCATTTGTGGCCAGGTCGCTTCTGAAAAAGATCTCAATAGCTCAGTGGGCCTTACCTGGTAAAATAAAAATACAAATGTTTAGCTTTAGTTCATGTTGAATTTTTTGGGTAACGTACGTAGCGGGGGAAGGACAACAAACTCAACATTTTCAAGACATGTTTCATACACAGCAATACTGTATGTTGAAACAACGCGAACGTACACACGTGTAAAATACAAACAATGTGCGGGCATGTTGCTGCGAGCGAACGAATAATGTTGTGAAACGTGTGAGTGCGTGTCTGTGTGCGTGTGTATCTGAACCGGTCCTGGGCCTCTCTTAGGTCAACTCGGCCTCAAATGAGTGCCTGGTGCGGTGTGTAATCGTCGCCACTAGGGAGACAACGGCGGCCGCGCGTGGTGCTGGCCACCCACCCCTTCGTGTGCCGTGCCGGCCTTCAGAGGTCCTCGCTAACAGCACTTGCCCCAACACTCTGTTGCAGGCTACACGGGGGGTCTTTGTCTTTGTTGCTGAATGTTCGGGGAGAGTTCCAGGACAAGGCGAAGCGATGTGAGCCGCGTTCGGCAAATAGAACTCCCAGCGTGGTGCGCTAATCACTGCGCCACCGCTCATATGTACAATGGTATCCATGTGAACACGTACGAAGATCCCTCGTGCCGGCCTTCATCGGTGCGTGCTCGTCGCACTTGCCCTAACAGACTGTGTTAGGCTACACGGATGATCTTTGTCTTTGTTTACAATATACGAGTACTGTATACGCATGGGCGCGTGTAGATATGAGTGTGTATACGAGCGTTGTGTATACGAGCGTTGTGTATACGAGTGTATACACAATGTGTGCACGACTGTGTACGAGTGTATACACAATGTGTATGTGTACGAGCGTAACTCGGGAGTGAACAGTTCTTGAGCACAGGCCCAACGGCCCCAAAAAACGTCGAGGGGCCAGCAACGAACAGCACCGTCACTCTCCGCTTGCTCGCGGCTTCAGCGTCACACTCCACGGGAGAAGGCGAATTACTCGGTCCACCACTACTACTGCTGCTGATGATGCTGGCGGGTCTCGTATCCCGCGTGAGTGTTGAGACTCGGAGCAGCGCTGGGGGAGCTCCAGGCTGAGTGAGGCTGCCCCCCCCCCCCAGTCCGTGAGTGAAACCAAATCGGCGACCTCCGCTTTAGCGACCCCCAACATTCTAAACACCTCCGTTGTTGTTGATAATTGTTTTTTTACCCTTCTATCTGGCAACAAAACTGACACCTTTTTTTACAAGGAGTCATGTTTGCATAGACCACAATACCTGCAGCCATAATGCAAACAAAAAACATAACTCTGATAATGTATGCACTGTCCTTGAAGTTGATTGGTCCACACCCGAGACAGCTTTCCTTAGAGCCTAGTCTCACATGGGTTGGACCAGATGACGCCAAAAAACGCACTCCGTTGTTGTTGTTGACGTTGTTGATGTTGTTGTCAGATCGTTCTATAGGATTACAAAGCACAGAATCGGGGCTATAACCGTGCAGAATGTCCAGCTCTCTGTAGCCCTTCTAAGATCATCGCTAGAATTCACATCACTCGCTCGCCGTCCGATGACCACGGCTTGGCTACGTACCGTGCGAGAGAAGTTCAACATGCACACATCCACACATCCACACACGGCCGTCAGTCGTACGCACCGCGTGCCAAGGCAACGCTTCGCTGCCTCCAGAGCACCCAGAGCAGGAAGCGGTGGGGCAACTGCGGCTACGAGACGGCGTTTGTCTCCTTCAAGCAGAGGTCGCAACCGGGTACCCGATACCCGTACCCTACCCGATACCCGGATACCCGTACCCGGCCTGGTACGGGTACCCGTTTGCGACCCTGGTGCGGCCGGGTACGGGTAGACCGTGAGTCACTGGTGAGTAACCGTTTGTCACTCATTTCCCAACGTCTTGTCTCTTCTCACAATTCAAGTTGCTAGAATCAATCCAACCGCGCCTGCAACATGGCTTCATCCCAGAGGTCGCAATCGGGTACCCGACACCCGGGTAGGGTACGGGTACGGCCGGGTATGGGTACGGGTACCTGTTTGCGACCCTGGTGCGGCCGGGTACGGGTACGGGTAAGGAATCAAAATCCGTTTGCGACCTCTGCCTTCAAGAGCTGCGGCGTGGGCTCGCGCGACCGCCATGCCCGTCTCGATCTGAAGTTTTCGTGACTGCAGGAATCCATATTCTCGTTGGTTCTGTCGGTAAAGTCACGCAGGTAGAAATAATAGCAGATCGCGACACGAGCGATCGTCATCGCCACCGTCTCCGTGTCCCACCGCACGCGTCGCGGCTGTTGATATGTTAACGATTTTAGTTTTTTTAGTTTTACCGAATTAAAAAAAAATTTACTCTTGCAAAAAAAAATATTCGTTGCCAAACCCCCCGTTGTTCTAGAACATCGTGAGGATTTACGTCACTCGCACACGGTTACGTGGAGTGTACATGACTCCGCCTCCATCGGAGGTGCTCGCTCATGACAGCACCTGCCCGCCCCACAACAAAGTCGGCATGGCTACATGTGGGGGTCGTTGTCTTTGTTGCGTTGTGAGTGTGCGTGGTTGTGAGTGTGCGTGGTTGTGGTTGTGAGTGTGCGTGGTTGTGGTTGTGAGTGTGTGTGGATGTGTGTGTGGGTGTGTGTGTGTGGATGTGTGTGTGTGGATGTGTGTGTGTGGATGTGGATGTGTGTGTGGATGTGTGTGTCGATGTGTGTGTGTCTGCGTGGTTGTGACTGTGTGTGGATGTGTGGATGTGAGTGTGTGTGGATGTGTGTGTGTGGATGTGTGTGTGTGGATGTGTGTGGATGTGTGTGTGGATGTGTGTGTGTGTCTGCGTGGTTGTGAGTGTGTGTGGATGTGTGTGAGTGTGGGGAGCGGTGGTGTAGCGGTCAGCGCGCTGCACTACGAACCTGGCTACCCAGGTTCGATTCCCGCTCACGGCCAAAAGCGGTGACGATTATCTGAACCGGTCTCCGGGCCTCCCCTAAGTCAGCTCAGCCTCAAATAAGTATCTGGTAAGGTGTTGTAAACATCGCCACTAAGGAGACAAAGGCGGCCGGGCCTGGTTCTGGCCACCCCCTCGTGTGCCGTGCCTGTCTTCATAGGTGCTAGCTAACAGCACTTGTCCCCAACAGTATGTTAAGGCTATACGGGGGATCTTTGTCCTATCTATATAAGTGGGGCACCTATCGATTCTTACAATATGGATTCGGCCCACATTGATTTCCACGATTCATGGTCACAATTTCATTGAATAATTCATTCTTCATGTACAGTTTTTTCTCCGCTTGTGTTGTTTTAATTTTTACTCAATTTGGACAGATTGAATGGAACGTCTCGCGCGACGTTTGTCGTAAACATTGCAATGATATCATTATTAGAAACGAGTCGCAGCGCGAATGATCAGTGAATGTGCATTGGTACTCATCTCGAGTCAGTGGTGGAAATTCCACATTGCTATGGCGGGGTGGATGTGGGGGGCGGGAGGCGAGTCTACCCGTAGGCCAACCGCTGTTGACGTCTCCACAGAGTGGTTACTCGTTTTAACGACCCACGAGGGATGATGGGCTGAGTCGATGCCTTGGACTCGGGACTTTCCCTCGTCGTGATAGCGAGAGCCACTCGCTCTCCTGCTCGGCCACCTCGCGGTTCGATTAATCATCTTTTTTCGAATTTCAAATAATCAATGTTCACCTGCGCAATTATCAGCACTCAGCTCGTGTATCATCATTGATTCGAATCGATCGACCGATTGCATCTTGGCATGTCTAATGCGCTCGCGTGTGAGCGCGCGCACGTGATTGATGTGGGGGAGGGGAGCGGGAATGCAATCGTCAGCGCACTGCGCTTAGAATCCACTCACGGCCAACACCGGTGACGATTATTATCTGAACCGGCCATGGGCCTCCCCTAGATCGACTCAGCCTCAAATGAGCACCTGGTAAGGTGTTGTAAAGATCGCCACTGGGGAGACAAAGGCGGCCGGGCGTGGTGTTGGCTAGCCACCCACATCGTGTGCCGTGCCGGCCTTCAAAGGTGCCGCTCGCTCACAGCACTTGCCCCAACAGTCTGTGAAGGCTACACGGGGCATCTTTGTCTTTGTTGTTAGGGCAACGGGGTAGACCCGAGTTCAATTCGCTCTCGCGGCCAACATCAGTGACGGACATTCTATAACCGGTCACGGGCCGCCTCCCCTTGGGTCGACTCGGCCTTTAAATGAGCACCGGGGAGACAAAGGCGGCCCGGCGTCCGGGCGTGGTGTTGGCCACCCACTCCCCTTCGTGTGTAACAGCACTTGCCGCAACAGTTCTGCTTGGAGGCTACACCCGGGGGAGGATCTTTGTCTCGTTATGATTTCTGAACGTGCAACATGCAGAGCGATGTGGGTGCGCGTTTGTGTGTGTGTGCGTGTGTGGGGAGCGGTAGTGTCGTGGTTAGAGCACCGCGCTACGAACCCGGCATCCCGAGTTCGCTTACCCGCTCACGGCCAACATCGGTGGCGAATATCTGAACAGGTCCTGGGCCTCCGCTAGGTCGACTAAGCCTCAAACGAGTACCTGGTGCGGTGTTGTAAACATCGCCACTGGGGAGACAAAGGCGGCCGGGTGTGGTGCTGGCCACCCCACCCCCTCGTGTGCCGTTCGCGGCCTCTTGTAGCTGCTCGCCAACGGCACTTGCCCCAACAGTCTGGTTAAGGCTACCCGGGGGATATGTGTTTTTGTGTGTGTGTGCGCGTGTGTCTCCGTGCGCGTGTCTCCGTGCGCGCGCGTGCGTGCGTTGCCCTCTCGCAGACGGCTCGCAACCTCCGCACGAGATGAGCCTCTTCCGCCGGGGCCGCAAGAAGAGAGTCCCCTACACCAAGGTGCAGCTGAAGGAGCTCGAGCGGGAGTACGCCGCCAACAAGTTCATCACCAAGGACAAGCGGAGGAAAATTTCGGCCGCCATCAGCTTATCCGAACGCCAGGTCACCATCTGGTTCCAGAACCGCAGGGTCAAAGAAAAGAAGGTTGTGTCCAAGATGAAAACGACTCACCTGTGATGAGGATGTAGCGTCGGGTGAAACGCACGCATGCATACACAAAGACAAAGATTTTTTTCCCCTCCTCGCTCGCCCGCCCGCCCGCCCGCTGCCCGCCTGGCCTCTTGAACAGGCTGCTGCTGTTGGGGCGAGTACTGTTTGCGAGCTCCTCGTGAAGAAGGCTGGCACGGCACACGAGGTTGGGTGAGTGGCCAACGCCCGGCCGCCTCTGTCTCCCCCGGTGGTGGTGTTTTTTTTGTGCACGCGCACACACACACACATACGCGCACCGCGCACCGGATACTCAATTTCCGGTCGAGTAAACGTCCATGAGGACCGGGTCCAAACATTCGACACATCACTCGTTGGTCGTGAGCGGCAGTCGGAAACTCGGGCTCGCCGCGTTCGCAGCGACAGTGTGCTGACCACTGCGCCACCGCTCCCCTCACCGCGCACGCGCACACGCGCACACGCGCGCACGCACGCGCGCGCACGCCCGTAATGCGTCGAGCGCGACGCTCATCACCGGCGTTCCGAACACGTGATCTCCGTACCTGACTGATTAATGAAGCTAAGATGCTTTTTTTGGGGGGGGGGCATGTGGGGGGGGGGGGGCTGAATAATGGCCGCGGGGGGCCATCTGCAGTAAATTATTTGAAGGGATTGAATCGTTGAGTTAACGATGATGTTAATAATCACGATGGTGGTGATGATGATGATGATGCCACTGCGTAAGTTTTGTTTGCGGTTGCGCTGCTGTACAACTCTCTCTCCGATCGTGTGCGCGCGCTCTCGGATCGTTCCCGCGTGTCGTTTGGGGGCACGATGACCGACGCTTCGCTCCGCACACCCCCGGAAAGCTTCTTCAATTCAGTTCGAGTTTCAAGATCGATTTGAGTTCATTTCGGTTTCAAACCGCGTGAAGAACTGCAGAGATAATCTCGCCTAATCGGCAAAAAATAATAACATAAAAACTTCCAAGTACGGTAATCCTCAATTTGATGCAGAAGATGCGTTCCTGAACTGTACCGCGAAAAGCGAGTTGTTCCCGAAATTCATCACATCGGCGCCATGAACTCAGCCCGCAGTCTTCCCATGGCGAGAGACACTAACGTCGTACCATCACGCTCAGCCGCGCAAAAAAGTAGTTCGCGTTATAAGTGGCGCGTCCCACGTTATAAGGGGTGCGTTCCGTGTTAAAAAGGTGCATGTTACACGTTATCACTGTGCACACGGTCCGCGTTGTGCCACAAGTGTTCCCTAATAGAATAAGCGCCTTGGAACGAACACGCGCCGCTTGTGAACCATAACCGCACGAAGGAAATACAAACCGGTACAAATAATAATAAGAGCCCTGCCGGCAAAAAAAAAAATCGAAAACCGTTTTAATGCGAACGTCAAAATAACGATTTCAAATGAACGATCCAGCAAGTGAAACTAAACTATTGCATGAAAGAAGTATCCCGGGCACGTGGAGCGAAACGTCGGGCACGATGTGGAACAGCGCGACCCAATAAGACGTCGGAGAGACGACGATGATGATGATGATGGTGACGATGATGATTATGACGTCAGCAGAAGCGTGCTGTAACGAGCGCAATGGGAGCGGTCCGTCTCGTACCTCGTCCGTGTTGATTTTGTTTGCTTGTCCTGAAACGGGTTCGTGGGAAATTCCACATTCCCATGGCCGGACGGCGGGAGGTCAGGACTACCCACATATATTACGACCACTGTTGGACTTCCCACGATGTGGTACTAGTTTTATCCGCCCCCTGGTTAACGATGATTGGTGATGGCGACGACGACGACGATGATGATAACGGGCTGCTGAGTCGACCGTCGGCTGTAATTTGAACCCCATATAACTATTGTTAAGATCGTGTTATTATAAAAGCTATTATTGTTTGTACTGTATTGTTATTATCATTATTAAGAGTTACAATGTAATACCCATAGTTCGTATGACCCATATGTGGACGATCGTTTACCCTCTGATGCCGTGTTTTCTAATTAATCAATTCGGTTTCGTTTTACATTTTAAATATTTTACGTGTATTTAATGTTACTTCAAATAATAATTATTGTTGTTGTTGTTATTGATAATTACCAATGGCATTGTATCGTTATCCTTTCTTCTGAGTATCAATTCGAAGTGCAAATATGCAAAATGCACCAAAATACGACTTAGAAATATCGTGTTCGTTTTTAGTCATTGATGAAACGTTTAACTTTATTTGTTTTAATTGTAATCACCGTCGTATGCAGACATCGCTGTTTGTTATCCACTGCTGGATGAAAGTTGCCTCACCACACGCTATTGCTGGACATTGATGATGGGAGGGAGGGGGGGGGGGTTGACGGGGGGGGGATGGGGGGGGGGCGGGGTTAACCATACTTCACCACTCCGTGTCAAGTGCGTTGCGTATATATGTACGTACAAATCATACTATATTATATATATGTTTAACAAATAAAGTTTTGCTGTCTGGAGGGAGGGGTGGACGGACGGCCATGGCCAAAGGATGCGCGTGTGCGTTGCTAGTATACACACATTCATATATATTATTTAAAAAATAAAAATAAAAATTTCTGCAGAAGGTTTGAGGAATAACTCAATAAATATCAGGCACAATTAATTTGCAAAATTTAAATTTAAGTAAATTAAAAAAAAAATATTACATATAAAGCGGCAAGTCTCGACGGAAATTTGCCCGCACCATCAGCGTGAATTCCGTCAGCCGAATGAGCGATGGGAACTTATTATCCCACCGCGCTCAATGTGCAACAGATCCCCACCCGCTTGACGCGGGGGTTTCGCTTTACGCGACTTGGCGCAGTCTGCGTGGCCGTCGCCGACTTCCTACCCCCCCAGCGAGGCGCTTTCAATTCGCTCGACATTCGGCTATGCGGTCTGCGTGGGGCAACATCGTGAGTGGACTGGCATGTGTACTGTGTGTACTGTGTGTGTACTGTGTGTACTGTGTGTGTGTAATGTGTGTGTGTAATGTGTGTACTGTGTGTACTGTGTGTGCTCTGTGTGTGTGTACTGTGTATGTGTGTACCGTGTACTGTGTTGTGTACCGTGTACTGCGTGTGTACTGTGTACTGTGTGTACTGTGTGTGTGTACTGTGTGTGTGTACTGTGTGTGTACTGTGTGTTTTCTACTGTGTGTGTATACTGTGTGTACTGTCTACTGTGTGTGTACTGTGTACTGTGTGTGTACTGTGTATACTGTGTGTGTACCGTGTACTGTGTGTGTGCTGTGAATACTGTGTGTGTACCATGTACTGTGTGTGCACTCTGTGTACTGTGTGTATACTGTGTACTGTGTGTGTACTGTGTGTGTACTGTGTGTGTACGGTGTGTGTGTGTACTGTGTGTATACTGTGTACTGTGTGTGTGTACTGTGTGTACTGTGTGTGTACCATGTACTGTGTGTGTACTGTGTGTGTACGGTGTGTGTACTGTGTGCGCTACTCGGCAGGCAGCAGTCCTCATGCGATTTCAATTTGTGTGCCATTTTTTTTTGGAACGCATCTACTACTACCACCACTACTACCGCATAGAGCGAGCGAGGGAGCGGGGGAGCGGGGGAAACAAACACACACACACACACGCCTGTGTGTGCCATATTTTACTTTAGTCGACGATAAAGAGCGGTCGGGAAGACACACACACACAAAACAAAAATATATAAATCCCATCGTTTCTTACCGAGATGCTGCTGCGCGACTTTTACCCGAGCAGAAGATGACGAAGGCGCGCTGGGGCCGAGGGGCCGAGAGGTCTCGAGTCGAGGCGTGGCGCCCTCGCTTCGCGGCGTCCTCGTTCGAGAGCCGCCGCAGTCCACCAAAGACAAAGGGTCCCACCGCGCGTGGTGTCACAACGATTGTTATCGTCATCACGATTGGCAGTGCTTGCATGTGCTTTGTGCCCTTAGTGGGGAGCGGTGGTGTCGCGGTTAACGCGTTGCGCTACCAACCCGGCGAGCCGAGTTCCATTCCCCGCTCGCGGCCACCGACAAACACCCAGTGACGATGATCTAAAACCGGGCCTCCCCTAGGTCGACTCAGCCTTAAATTAGTACCTGGTGCGATGTGTAAACGTCCTCACCCGTCGTCACCGGGGAGGCAAAGGCGGCCGGGCGTGGTGCTGGCCACCTCACACCCCCTTGTGTGCCGTGCCGGCCTTCATAGGTGCTCGCGAACAGCACTTGTCCCAACAGTCTGTGAAGGCTACACGGGGAATCTTTGTCTTTGTTTCGTGGGGAGCAGTAGTGTCGCGGTTAGCGCGCTGCGCTGCGAACCCGGCGACCCGAATTCGATTCACCGCTCACGGCCACCAACACCGGTGACGATTTACCCGAACCGGTCCTGGGCCTCCTCTAAGTCGACTCGGTCTCAAATGACTACCTGGTGCGATGTGTGTAAACATCGCCGCTGGGGAGACAAAGGCGGCCGGGAGTGGTGCTGGTTACCCCAAAGCTCCCCTTCGTGTGCCGTGTCGGCGTTCATTGGCGATGCTCGCTCACGTCCCTTGCCCCGACAGTCCGTCAAGGCTACATGGGGGATCTTTGTCTTTGTGTAGATGCAAAAAGGTTGGTTGAGTTGATCGTGAGATTAGCCGACCTGCTGCTGGTGGTGGTGATGATGATGATGGTGCTGTCGCTGTGAGGGTACAAATATCGCGTGCAAAGAGTCTCGCCACCAACGTCCAAATGAGCAGTGATCGGACTTTCACGCTGTGACCGCTCTCGTCGACTGAACTAAAACAACAAACGAAGGGCGAATTCACAGCGCGTCATTTATCGCGTTGTATGAAAAGGGGCCATGACTAGAAACGTCGTCTGTTATCAGCATTTTGTTTTCCCTTTAAAGCCACGCAGTGTTGTTGATAAACGTGGTCGGATTTAGGGTTGCTTTTAAAAACTAAAAAAATGTTTCATGAATTTCGATTTAAAGCTTTCGTGACTGCAGGGATTCATCTTCTTGGTTCTTTCGGTAAAGTCACCGAAAGAACCAAGAAAATGTTTCTTGAGTTTGTCATCCAGGATTCTCGATTGTCGTTCTAAACGGAGGCTCTACACATTGGTACGCACGCTTGGCAAATTCCGTCATGATTATTGATATCAATGATGAGATATTGTCAAGACATTTGTCAATAGCACAACGTGTTGAGTTGGGTTGTTGTTGTTGTTAATTGTGGTCGTGCACCAATGCAGCAGCAGCATCACCACAAAATAATTAGACCGTTATCATAACGACGCGAAATCAATATTAATTATTTTTTGTATTGTTAAATTCGTCTATGACTAAAATTCTATAGGCCTAACTGAAAGACAATGATTTATACAGTATATATAAGCATAAAAAATAGCTGGCTAAATTAACACTTAAAATATGCTAAAAATAAAAAAACACCCACACACAATTCAGAACATTCGTCAAATAATACTGTGACCTCAAAATATGCGACGTTTCGGGCAATGCCCCTTCTTCACAGCGGATAGAATGGCCATAGATAGCAAGCTGTTATGTACGCAGTGT